ATGCAAACTAAACTGAAACTTACCTGGCTAGCCAGCTAATCCGGCTTCATGGTACAGGCCCCTGGAGTTCCTAAGTGAATCAGTGTGTTTGAATGAATGATTCAATGGCTCAGTCATAAAGAGAGTCACTTGTAGACAGCTGGTGTAACCTGCAAAAAGATTAATTGAAAAATACCAATAGCAATCCACAGAAATAAGTAATTCAGTCAGTCAGTAAGTAAGTAAATACATACATACACGTTCCAGGGTACGACTTGTAGAGCTAACAAACTTTTGAAGTCTTTTTTATTCAAAGAATCTCTAAAACTTATGAATGTGACATTTAGTCCAAAATATAAGTATATTCATTATAAAAAGCACATTTATTAACATTGTAAATCTAGTATATATATATATATATATATATATATATACTGTATATATTCAATAAAAAAAATTAACGTACTTTTACAACACTATACTTTATTACTTTTACTTTTAATTACTTTTAATATTAACTTGGCATTAAATAATAATAATAATAATAAAACAGTAAACACTGTTGAAAGGATGTCTCTAATACAATGGCTGAGATAAATTTGACATTTGACATAACCTTTCTCTCTCTATTTTCCTCTTTTGGAAAGTTTTTGTTTTTTTTTTGCAATTGGAGCAAATGACAACCTCAGAAACGGGAAAAAGGTCCATCAGATTCCATGACTGGAACTAACTTGTACAATTAGTTTTTACATTGTGCTGGAAAATGTGAGTTAGTTTTTTTTTTTGCTATTTTAGTACACTTCTTTAGGGTACCACCCTAGTCCTGAACTGAATATAAAATGTAAAGCAATGACTGATGTCAGAAGGGATCTGTTTCAACACATGCTTTGACACGGACAGGAGGGTGCGGCCTTTTAAAAACCTGCTTCTCCTCTGAAAACCTCATGAAAACATTTGATCTATTTTAAATGCTGATTCAATCCATGATTATTGTTGAAGGATGATATTCAGAATTCAGAGTGGCCCACGCAGACCCCCACCCTCCTCCCTTTTACTTGGGGAATTATAAGAACATCCCACGACAAGCCACAGTATGTGTAGCCTGAGGGATGCGGCTCAATTACAGCAGAGCTGACATGCATGATAACAGAACGAAAACGACAGCATAAATACATGTTTAGATCTTCAGCTGCAAGAAAGGGCATGATGATGCTAACTACAGAGACAAATTATGAACTTCTACACTTATTTTATAATTAAGAGAAGAATCTTCAATGGGAGTCGATGAGTTATTCACAATAACAGTGAATGGTTCATAATTTTATGGGGCACAAAACAGAGGATTCTTTCTCATTCAAAAGTTAATTTATACCAAGACTCATGGCACACTTCATACATCAAATGTCCAAAGGAAAAGAGAATGTTCCTCTAATCCTGCAATGGGATTAAATGGAGCATTTTGCTAAGGTTTTTCCTGTTTCCCAGAATTTTCTCCAGAGAAATGTGCCTCCTCTAGAGTTTTAGCAGACATGTCAACAGTATCTCACATTGTGCAATCAAAAATCAAAGATTTCAATATGAACTCAAACATTTTTCATCAAACTAGTCCAAGACCAAAGTCTTGAAATATCTGCATTAATTTTAATAATGTTCAGTATCATCTTACTGTCTGTCAACATTTGTCTCCCTGTCAGGTTTTTCAAGTTTCTATTTGAATTTCTCCTAATGGATTGTAGGAGAGACACCTGAGACAAAGTAGATGCTAAAAGGAAACATAAACAATTTCCATTATGTCTCCTGAACTATTGTAAATGTTCTTCTAAGATGATGCTATACTCTAAATTATTACACTGTACAATAGTTCCATCTGTTAACTACATCAGGTAACATGAACTAACAATGCATCTAAAGCATATATTAATTTTAGTTCATGTTAATTTAACATTTACTAATACATTATGCAAATAAAAAGTTGTATCTGTTTGTATTATTTAATGAACCTGAGGTAATGATCTAACAATGAACAGTTACAGTCTAATGTTAACAAAGATTGATAAATACTGCAATGAATGTACTGCTCATTGTTAGTTAATGATAGTTAATGCATGCTAATGGGACCTTGATTATTTACCCATATTGTTAATCTAACTGCTACTGTGTGCACATAGGTGGCATAAAAGCATGCAAATGCATGAAGCAATAAAACCAAAGTAACATAATGTTAATAGTATTGTTAATCTTGCTGGTTACATTTTGTGTGGATCTGCTCTGCTAGACAATGATGTCATCTATACTAACCATTCATGTGACTTAAAGCTGCCTTGAGGTGTCCACATTCCACAAGGACATCATGTTACTGCAACACCTTGAGATCTAAGCCACTGAGCATGAGTCATTTTGTTCTCTGAGAAACACTAGATTCTCCCCTGTATGAGGCCAGTCAAGCCTGCAGCAGAGTATAGAAGGCAGGGCTTTTGGCAACAACAAGACTTCTTTGAACTCCATTCAATGGCTTTTACTGTACCTTTGTGCCAGCAAATCTTCATTCAAACCTGTTTCTCAGCTTCTTGAACCTGATCTTGTGATTGACAAGTTTTGCATCTGATCTAACTGGCAGTTGATATTTTTTTTTAGCAGGCATGGAAGTTGTTTTCCAACTGATTCCTATTTATCATAAACAATCTAAGGAGGTCAAATCTATTTGCGATTTAGCTGCTGGCAAAGTAAGTTTATATATAAGTGCTGGTAAACGCAACTTGAATCTGGCCTCTGAAATTATGACCCAAGTGTTCTTATAATGTTCTGACTAATTTTACCTTCCCATAACGATCATTTACATAAACATACAACATCTTTCTCTATTGATTTCTGATGGAGAAAATAAAATCAACTACTGTATGACCCTTGCAAGTCTAAGGGCATTTAGCATGAAAGGTGATGTTTGACAGAGTGAAACAAATCTAATGTCAACACTCTTCTGAAAATGAAAGACCTATTGATGACTGCATGTCAATCTACTTCATTAACCTGTTAGCTTTGTGCTTAAAGAAATGTTGATTACTTCAGAAAATAGTTTGACCCGTAATGTTGTTCGACTTCAATAGGAAGAGCATAACTGTGTATTTTTTGCTTGCTTTTAAAATGTTTGAAAAGTTTAAATGATTTTCTTTGGGATAGTGAAACATCAGTTTAACTATGAGGAATGCATTTGATTATTAAAAGTGGCAGAGCAAGTTATTACTACAAGTTTGATGAGAGATTACAAAAACAAATATATAACGTACACTGGAATAACTTGCGCTACTGTTAAAAAGTTTGGGGTCTGTAAGATTTTTTTTTACATTTTTTGAAAGAAGACTGCATTTATTTGATCAAAAATACAGTGAAAACAGTAATATTGTGAATTATTAAAATAAAAAATTTTAATTTAATAAAAATAAAAATGATTATTTTTTTATTTTAAAATACTTTTTAAAAGATATTTATTCCTGTGATGGCAAAGTTGAATTTTCAGCATCATAACTCCAGTCTTCAGAAATTCTTTGATGAATGGAAAGTTCAAAAGAATAGCATTTATTTGAAATATTTAAAAAAATATATATAAAATTTAGTGTCCTTACTAAATAAAAATAATTTCTTTACCAAAAAAAACAAACAAACAAAAAAAAGTACTGAAACCTCAAACTTTTGAACATATGCTTATTATTTGTTCACAACAAGACTAGGAATGTGCATTTCAGGATAGATTTTTACTAAATGTTTTTACAAATATATTTACATTTCAATCAATTTTTACAAGCATTAATTCAAAACAAATTCTACTACTAATGCGTTTAAAAAAATGTGTTTATTACAAATATGTACAACAGTATAAAAGCTTGAAATTTACACAAGGATTGAAATGAACAGCAGTAGCCCATATAGAGATGCCAAACAGTTACCCACCTCTTTTTTCCAAGCATTTATTTTCAATTAAAACATGAAACTTTCTGACCTAGTATTTTTTGGTCTGTTTTGCTCAGTGCTCCTTTTAGGTTACAAGATTCTGGTACACTGTCTAATATAAATATGCACGTGTTTGCAGAAGAAAGCTTACAACAAACGATGAAATGTTACTAGTAATAATCAGTGCAATCACAGTCAACAAATAAAAACCAGTGGCACCCACAAAACCAATGACAAAAGCCAACTCCAACAATGCTTAGCTACCATGAAATGATCCAAAAAAAGGTCAGACTTTGAAAATCTCCCTTTTAAAGATGATTTAACAATTCCTCATCTGCTCATGACAACTTTTACAACATCTCATCACCGCACAATCTCCCTTTGGCTTTTTACAGCAGAAATGCATGCCTACACATGCATCTTGAGTCCATTTTGTCATATCTACATCAAACTTCTCTCTCTTCTTCATTTATCAGACCATAGGTTTGGTGTGGTCGTGGTAGGACTGACTGAATCTTTGCAAGCCCTTTTGGGACTCTGGCTGTAGCTGGGCGAGTGGATGAAGGTCGGACTGCTGGGTGGAGATGAAGAAGATGAGGAAGAGGATGAATGGCAGGAGGAGGATGAAGCTTTGAGCTTGAGCCATTTATCACCCAGCGCTTTGGCAAAGTGGTCATCTACAGATACGCTGATGGAGGTGGCTCTGTGGTAGTTCATCCCGAGACTCCTCTGGAAATGCTCTTCAATGTGGTCATAACTGTGCTGGGTAACAACTATAGAGAGACAGAATCAGATAATGATGTACAAAAACTATTCGTTCCGATGAAAAGATCTGCACGGACATGTTAAAGGAGGAACGCCAAGCTCTTTTGCAGCTTTTTGCTTACTAGTGGAGTGATTGCAGCAGTCTTTACTTGTTGACCTTGTTGCAGAGGAAACACAGGTGATGACAGATGGCCGTATCTGAAAAAGACAGCGAAGGTCAGCAAAACCTTGTTGTAATACATTTTTACATCCATCCATCTATAATGGAGCTTTTGGAATAGCTAATGAATAAAACTGATGGAAAAATGGGAAACTGAAAGGACAGGATGGACAGTTATGTTTGTGGTTAGGGGTTCTAGATTATTTCTCTCTCTCAGCCCTGATGCCACTATCAGGTCAACAACAGCACTGGTGTGTTGAGACTTGTTGACAACATTCATCCACCCATTGCTCACATTTTCTCCTTGAATCCGGCTGGATTGCATATCTGAGACAGGCAGAGGCCTGTCCGCACTCTAAAGAGCCACTCTCTCAAGAACACAAAAGTGCCTTCCTGCATTCTGTTGTGTCTCATAGATAGTGAGTGAGGATGAACAGACTGCAGTGGCCTCAGGATAGACTCTAAGAAGATGATG